TTTTGTCAATTCAAACAAGCAGCCAACTCAAGAGCACGGTCTACTTCTCCGACGCGGTTGAAGCTCATAATCATATCACATCTGTACTGCGTATAAAAGAGCGGAAGATGTTTAATTCTTTATAGTGAATGCTCGTAAGGTAGGCATTCTAATCCGCTGGCTAGTTTGCTCGCCCGTCTTTGAGATTTCTCCAGCAGATTGTAAACTTGCTCCATCCAGAGGTGCTATGCTTAAACGCGATATTTAAGCACTGGCCGGACAAAGGTTCCAAACACGTGACCAAAAAGCCTGCCGTCAAAATAAACGAACGATCGTCTGATAATTCCCAGAAAGTTCATAGCCTTCTCTGCAATGTTGGCACGGTGAGTTCATGATTTGGGAGTCGGCGTCATGCAGGCGCCTTAATTCTTTATTTCGTTTACTTGCTCGAATTGGTGACCGTCAATGAAGTTCTCATGCTCAACTCGTCTCAACTTTCTTTAACTTGACCGTAGTTGAATGACTTGGCGTATATTTAGGTTACGTAGCCCCTCAGCACACCACTTTTGCATTCAATGCGTTATGCAGACCTTCGACAGAATTCCATAATTGCAGATTATCAGCGAGCTTTACCTTCTCAGAACTGAGGCCACCGAGGAAATCCTTCACACGTATCAAAAAGAATGAGACCCAGAACGCTCCACCGCGGAACCCCACAGCGAAAGATTATCCATTTTGATTTTGTGTGCCCGATACAAATGATCTGACGTCTGCCTGTAATAAAGTCGGCTAACCTTTTGAGTGGGTTCTGCTTTACACCCATTTTATGCAATCTTGATATCAGCCGTCTTTATGAAACCATAACAGAGGATTTGCTGAAGCCCATGCAGATCACCTTGGCCAACAAACCCATTTTTTGTAAATTCCTCCAGAATTCTATGGATGTTTTCAGATTAGTGAGGCAGGACCCACTACGTCTAAATCCATGCTGATGCGCATTTAGCAAGTTGTTCTCCTCAATATGCCCCATCCACTCCGTCTTGATTATTTTCTTAAATAATTTGCACAAATACTCATGAAAACCTCTGGCCCAATGCTATTTTGAGAAGTATTTTCTCCTCCTTTATAGATAATGACGATGTGGGTTAGC